TCGGTGGCAGAGAGGAGCAATGTCACGGAGAAGTCGGTGTGTATTTTTGTTACGGTGACAAAGGAAGGTGATTAGCTGCCTGAATGAGAGAGGGAGATGAAAGAAAAAAAGAAAAAAGGGACAGAGAGACAAAAGGAAGGAGAGAGAGAAAGAGAGACAGAGAGAGAGAAAACACATGGCCAGCAAGCCACTCCCACCAAGTCACATGGCCGGCAAGCCACTCCCACAAACGAGGCCACACCCACAGAGTAGGTTCCAAATTTTTTTTCGAAACCCACCACTGAGCAGCGGGGTTGGACTAGGAGGCCTCTAAGGTCCCTTCCAAACTCGATGATTCCGTAGGATTCTGCATCCTTTGCCCACTTCGGTCCGTCTCATAAAATCTCGCCAAACACGGGCAAAGGCATAACAGCCAAACAACAATGGCCCAATTGTTATTGCTAATTTTAATCCCTCCCCACTGAGAACCACGCTTCCCCCTCCACATTCAGGCAGCTAATCACCTTCCTTTGTCACCGTAACAAAAATACACACCGACTTCTCCGTGACATTGCTCCTCTCTGCCACCGAAGAAAAATGCAGCCATTAATTACAGCCACTGTTGGCTACACGGGAAAATTGCTGTAATTGGCGGAGGGGAAGATGCATCTCTGCATATATATATATATAAAAGACAAAAATCAGAGAGCTCCCTCCCCAAGAATCAGAGGAGAAAAGAAAACAGATCCAGGCGCGGGAATCCTTGCCACAATGCCTCACAGAGGATGGGATTCCCCCCCCCACTCTCCCCAAAAAGTAGAACCTCCCTGTTCAGGAGCAGTATATCCGCACAAATCAGAGCGTGGGGAGTTTATCAGGGCATAGGGGACACGAGATCAGACCTTCTCAATCTCGGGTTTTTTTTTCCAGGCGTCCGGTTCCTGTTAAGGTTGGGTCAGCTATTTGTGATTAGAAATATAGTGGCGAAGGTGCAGGCCCAGAGACTGGGAGAGGGGGGATTCTAGTTCGGCCTTAGATGTGAAAGCCAAGTGGGTGACTTTGGGCCGATCACCAGGAGACGGTGAGTTCTAGTCCCGCTTTAGTTATGGCAGCCAAGATCAATCACCAGGAGATAGTGAGTTCTAGTCCAGCCTCTTCCTCCTCCTATCCACAAACCCTACTCTCTTTTAAAACTGATGATGTTACCTAGTTGGGTCATGAGACGTCTGCAAGAAAAACCCTAAGCTCAGAGAGCACCAAGGACCCCACAGTCTTTTTCCTCCTCCTCCTCCTCCTCCTCCTCCTCCTCCTCCTCCTCNAGGCCTCTCTCATCTTTTTAAGTGGGAGAACTTGCACAGTTGGTGGCTGACTAAATACTTTTTTGGCCCACTGTATGTATACACACACACACAAACACACACACACACACAAACACATTAGACATTTGTATTGTGTATGAACAGAGTTGGTTCCAGTATCATTCATATTAATCCAATTCACAATAACAATATTAGTAATCTCTATAACATTTCTCAGATTTAAGTAATTATTATATTGTTCAAACATATACGTATATTCAAAAAATGCCTAACTCATTTTTATCTCTACCTTCATTTATGTCTTTCTTATTCTATCTAAACATTTCTCTATTATATATGAACAAATTTAACTAAGTTTCATTTATATTGATCCAGTTTATGTTAACATTGTTAATCTATATCACATTTGTCAAGTTTATATAATCCTTATATTATTTATACATCTCCTCTTTAGTACTTCAACTCTTATCCATTTTTCCTTTTAATCCAATTCACAATAACAGTATTGATGATCAAATTATATAGTCTCGTTACATTGTTAAAATATACTGTACATTGAAAGAAAAATACCTAACATCTGTAAATTTCTAATCTATTATTTTTATTCATTCTATAAGGAGTTTATGTTTTGATATTTCCCCTATCTACTTTTTATTTCTGCCTCTCTAATTAATATTTAAAGGGCATTTTTATCCATCATTTCTTCTCTTTTTTAGTGCTTCAATTGTTATCCATTTTTAAATTCTGCTTCCACACTCCTCCTTTTTATTTCTATTTTCATCTATCTCTTTTTTGTTCACTCTTAACATTTCTCACAGTAGAATCTTGCACTACCAATTCTCCCAATTATCTGCCCTTGTCCTAATCTCCTTATCAAAAATACATTAATACATTTTTTTATTTATAGTGTGTTTCTCTCCACCATATCATTCCACACATCAGTGCAACAGATAACTCATAAACAATCCCACCACACACAGAGAATGACAAATAAAAACATTGAGAGACTGAAATGCAGTGAATGGATTCAGCAATAATACATTATAGCATCATAATGGTAAAGCAACAGATCAAAACTATTTTGGATCAAGCCAGAAATAAAACAATGAAATAAAAATAAAGCATTATTATATAAGATACCAATAAAGGAGAATATTTGTAGCTCAGGGTTGACATGAGGTCCTTGCTGCTCTCTGAGTTTGCTTGTTTTCTTGCAGACATATCATTACCCAAACTAGGTAACATCATTAATGCTAGTCATATAGTCATTAGTCATTCTATATATGCTAGTCATATATAGAATAGAATAGAATAGAATAGAATAGAACAGAATAGAATAGAATAGAAT